TGGCAGTGCTTGTATTGTCTTCAGTCATTGTAGCTGCATCTATTTCAATTGCTATTTCATGCAATCTTTCTTCACCAGTATCCACACTAGATTGCTGCAGATCGTCACTGGAATCATAGGAAGACTTACTATTATAACCTGGAAGTCGGCGGACGTTGTTTTTATTTCGATAATGCTGTTCCCGTTGTAAGTGGCGATGATGATGATGGTGTTGGTGTCGATGATGGTGGGCATGATGACGTTGATGAAATGTGCGACTTGTCCGATTACTATGTTCACATTGTTTCGCAGGTCTGCTTTCACCTCCATCACCACTTCCAGGTGAATAATGGTGGCAGTGATGCGTGATATGGCAGTGACACGTGATTTCGCCAGACTTCAAGTTGCTATTTATCAGACCACAGCAGCTGTTTGATTTTTGGTGATTTGCACAGCAATCCATTGTAGTGCTATGGCCATGACAGCTATGCAATTGACTCCAACTTAAAACCGAGTCCGGCGTTTGTGTAGCATTGTGTCGTTGTCGCACTGTATCGCCATGTTGGCATCGACATTTACGACGCCCTCTTCCACCATCTCTAGCAGACATAGATCCCTTATTATTGGGAGAGTCAGGCCTGGCTCGACTCGAAGATGATCGCGATATGCTATCAGGCCGCTTGACAATTACCACTGAATCTAAAGCGCAGTCTCCTCTTTCATCGGCAAGCATTTTTCTAGATGCCTCTCTCCCTTTATTTAGGGTATTGTTATTAAGGTGATATTGGAAGGCTTTGTTATCATGATATTTTTTGTATTCAGGATTCGCGTAGCTGTTGAAATGTTCATCATCAGCAATGGCGGTGAGCAGATGGTCATCTCCACTGCTTGTAGTAGTGATAGCAAGAGATTGATTGTTGTCCGAGTTGTTAGTTGTTTGCAGGTCGTTTGGATTTTGTGATTGTTGCGGTTGTTCTTCGGGGGCAAACTGCTAATCTCCACGGCGCATCTCACGCGCCTTGGTATTCTTTCTATAGAACCAAACTTGTAGCAATATTGCAAGATCTAAGCTAACCTGAAATAAAAATTGTATTTTAACACGGAAACACGCGCTATTCGTTTTAACATGTACAAGTAAATGCCGAAACAAATGAAAAAAAATTTAACGTATTCGAAAAGCACGCTTACCATTTTGACGTAACCTCAAAGGCAAAAGAAGTCACCTTTGCAAAAAACCTAGAATTTATATGCAATTTCTTCCAGGTAAAAAAAAAAAAATGTAGTTGGAATATTGGCTTGCCAATGAAGTTGGCTGCCTTTACTAAAAACGGTAGTTGCCACCTGGCCGGCGCGGCGGGACATCTGTGGCAAAATAGTTGCAGCGTATACGAATTTCGAAACTATTATACCACTTTGCTATTAATAACGCTGTAATACCAGAGAACGTATATAGAATTTTTATTCTACATCATTTGGTTCTGACAGAATTTTAAAATACAGAACTTTGATCCACAGTAATTTTAACAGCAAAGAATTTTTTTTCACATTTTTTCCAGAATTTTGAAGCGAATAATTTTTGAAAAGCAAAATATACTACCGCTCCCGGTGTTTTTGTATATTTGGGCAATTCACAAGGTGTCGTATTTGTCGTGTTTGTCGTGAAGTCATGATATTTCATGACAGTTGTAAAAATGTTGTTATTGTTTTGTGAAGAAAAATAACACATGACGATACAACTCTGCAACCTATGTTTATTCGGTGTTATGTGAGGTTAAGTGCTGAGATATAATAAATAATCGTAACAGGTGTTCACAACCGTCGTGTTTTAACACAACTTTTGTTAGGAAAATATAACTTCACAACACCTTGTGAATTGCCCAATTGTGAAATAAACTAAATTAAGAATGAGTAACTGTTTGGAAAATTTGGTACATTATTAATTATGTTTGTGGAAAATTTAACATATCAGTATGTACTTTCATACCATTTTTTTTTCTTAAGATAAATAAAACCTATTTGAATAGAAAATATAATTTTTTAATTAATATATAATATATATATATATATATATATATATATATAAATGCTATTTTTTCTCATAAAACATTTCACATAAAAACTTTTTATCACAATAACGCTATCTTTTTTAACAAAAATAATGAAATGACCTTTGTAAAATCATATAGTATAAGTAACTTTAAAATGAAACACGCATAAATAATGGATTGCTCAGCCTTAAAAACAAAAATTAATTTCTCGACCCAAAAAACAGTTATATACCATAAGAATTTCATTATTTGATCGAATTTTAATCATTTTTTCATGAATGCCGGGTCACCAACTTTAAATATGCATAAAAAATAAACCAGATCAATAGGCTAAAACTCCTTTTGGATTTGTGTTATGGGAGGTGTAAGTTTTCATTTACTTTTGGTTTCAACAAATACGTAGGATCTTGTTGCACTGTGTCATGGTGTAATAATAACAAGGTGTTGTCAGTAACTTAACCTCACTTTTTCGGCAGGTCTATTCCGGTCACGCATTTTAAAGTAGTAGAAAAAGTACTAATTATTTACCACTTTTAATCCGTTCGTGCATACTATTTCAAATTAAATGTAGAAAAAATGTTTAATTACAGGCTTATAAGCCTGAATATATGTTTGTATCGTAAGCTCCACACAGGTTGCACATATATTGTAACTTTTAAAAAAGTACAGGCCGTAAAATAAGGCAATTTCCTATAAAACTGTAAATGATTTTTTAAATAGATTAGTAATAATAATAATAGATTGGCGCTTACACATTTGGCCGAGCTTCTCCTCCGACTTGCGGCGTGCGCCTTGATGTTGTCACACAAAGCGGAGGGACCTACAGTTTTACGCCGACTTCGAACGGCGATTGCATTTTTATGGGAAGCTGTTTTTCATGGCAGTAATACACTCGGATGTTTGCCATTGCCTGCCGAGGGATGACCGCTGTTAAGAAAAAAACCTTTTTTCTATATTTTTTGCTATGTTGCTTTGACCAGGGCTTGAACCCAGCTGCTGCGGAGTGGAGCGCGCACTGCTTACCACTACGCCACAGCGGCGTAGATTAAAACACATAAATATCGATAATATAAGCGAAGTCGTAATTTAACCATGCTGCCGCTCTATTCTAGTGTATCGGAAGTCCATTTGGCTCGATATTATGGCAATGCAGCAAAAGATATTTAATATAAAAAAATCGCCTTTCCATACGATTTTTGTGTACGTCTTTTTCCATTGATAACTACGATATCTTTTATATTTTATATTTTGAGGACAAAAATTATACAAATCCAGCAATTTTAAATATTAATATCGTTCTGAAAACACCAAGTTCTTTAAAAATCACGATAAAATGAAATACTAAAATGGAGTATTTTGAATACAATTTCCCAACTAACAGCATTATAAAAAATTAAGATCGGCAGCACTGAAAATAAGCATGCCGATCTTGTCAAAATTACAACAAACACGTCGCTACTGACAACACCTTGTTATTATTTCACCATGGCACTGTGTAATTTACATACATAAAACGGCATGCACACACTACTTTTTCATGGGCGGCCCGGCATTTAATACGCGTACATATGTATATGTACTTATGTATTTATGCATTAATATATCAACTTGTTAGCTTGAAATACTCATTCCTTATCATTGTACTTTTTTATATGCTTATTTTTTACGCACCTGAAGTGTGCCGCAAATCCAGAATTGTGTTGGAGATTCCCTAACAATAAAATAACCAGTCTTAAACATATCACCTAGCGTCCACATGATGACCATTTGGATGCTCATACCATATGTAGATTTATTCTTGAAATTTCGTACAAATTGTGGAGCACCTAAATGCGTATGAAATAATACATAGTTTAGGTATATTCAAGCATTCGCTTAAAATACTTACCTAGCATAGCTTCTGTGAAAACAGCACAAAAGCCAACAGACTCCATAAACCACTTAACAGATAACATTAGATATGTGATAGCTGCTCCGACTGCCCAAACAACGAGCATAAAGTCCAAATACGATTGAAAATCGCTCCAATTCCAAAAGTATTTGTAATCGAGATCTGTAAATGAAAAGAAAATACTTTTTTATATAATTTTTGCATTCAGTGTTTAAATAATTAAGTTAATCTTCGAAAATGAAGTAAAAACACATTAGGCTGCCTTACACTCCAAGACCATTTTGTTCTGCTTCTTAAACAAATTATGTAGTATGTACAATAGAGTGGTCCAAAAATTTTTTTTCCCAAGATAAGGATTGGGGCACCTTCCAAAATTTGTCCTCTTGCCGAAAGAGGTGCTGGTACCAAACCTTACGTTTCTATGTATGAATTTAGAGCATGCTCATGATGGTCATATTGAAGTGAAACTTCTTTAGCGGCGGTTGGTTGGTTGGGAGTAAATTTGCCAATTCAGCGGAAACTGCACACGGAAATGGTGCAACGGAAATGACCCAACGGAAATGGTGCAACGGAAATGGTTGGGCCTGAAACAAGTACTTCTTGTGTGTATGCAACGGAAAAGATGCAACGGAAATGATGCAACGGAAATGATGCAACGGAAATGGTGCAACGGAAATGGTTGGGCCTGAAACAATTACTTCTTGTGTGTATGCAACGGAAATGATGCAACGGAAATGGTGCAACGGAAATGGTTGGGCTGAAACAAGTGCTTCTTGTGTGTATGCATATGGCATTAATTTAACAAAAATTTTCTAATAAAAGGTTAAAGAATAACACTTAGAAAAAGACCAATACAAGAATGAAAGTAAATGTGAGTACGTACATAGATAAAGGCAAAGGTAAAAATAAAAACTAAAACAAAGATACGTAAAGATATAGGCATAAATGAAGACCAAGGTAAATTTAAACACTTCACTTATATAAGGGCAAAGGTGAAGGGGAATATGTAGCTGAAAAAAATGATGAACATAAAAGTAAAGACAAAGAGGAGGATGAGGATACCGATAAAATCAAAGATGAAGATAGGGGAAGAAAGATTAAAATAGAGGTAATTAAAGAGGAAAGGATATAGAGAGAGACACAGAGACTCAATCTGGGTACTATTTTGGGATTTTAGAGATTTTCGGGATTCTCGAGACTTATCGATAAAATAATCGATATTTTTACATGGAAAAAAATCCGCAACACCCTCGACAAAAAAAATTCTAAAAAATCAACGGTAATTTTTAGCGACTTGAAACTTGCACTTTATTATACTATTGAATGGGCTACAAAACTGCGTACCCGAAAATTTTCTAAATATTCTAATTAAAAATTTTGAAATTTTGATGACAATTTTTTGAAGTTTGATTAATTTTTTTGCAATTTGTGCAAGCTTTGCAACTTTTGTTATTGTGGTTTCTGATATAGATTGAATTCTTTTTTAAATGAAAATTATTAAAAATAAATAAATAAACATAATTTGCAAGCAATATCGTTTTGAATTTCGTTGCTAATTAGTTGCACGCATCTGTATGTATGTATATTGGTTATGACTCATAACTCATCACTTATGAGACAAAATAGGTATGTATGTAACTTAAGTTTCACTTCTCCAGTGTGGCCCAGGCGCACTTACTTTTTTACTCTAAAAGTATTGTGTACATATGGGCAATTCCACCATCACGGGTGGGACATTTGTGCAGAAAAAATGTTCTTTCTTGTTTAAATTTAAGTATAAAGTACTAAATAATTCTACATTTTAATAAAGCTACACCTAATTGACTATTATATGAGTTATTACAAAATACGAAAAAAATTCCAGCTCACTTTTATATGAAAAAAATCTTATTATTATTATGTTATTTCTTCTGTCACGCGTGGGACCAAAAAAAGAACCTGCTTTTTGGGGCAGATATATTTTATGGAAACTCTGCGAATTTATTTAACTTTTCTGTGAGAACTTGATGTCTTATAATAAAACAAAGAACCACGAATACAAACAAAGCAAAAACTACAACAAAAATTATGGCTTTATTATAAAAAAAATCCGAAATTCCTCCTTCACGGGTGGGACAACGTCTATCACGAGTGGGAAACGTACGAATTTTTATATGAAAAGGAGCTTTTAGTGTGGTCCATATTAAAGATTAGTTATTAAAAATATAAGAAGCCAAGTAGGGGTTCAATTCACTCACGTTTTATCTTAGGATAGTGCCTTTTATATAGAAGAATATGCCTAGCACCGTCAGCAAAAAATAAATAAAATATTAAAAAACAAGGCGATTTCCCAGCGTCTTAAAAATTGCACTTTTACCAACTTAAATTTAATGGGCTGTAAAAAAATTCTGAACAAAAAGGTGTAAATTTTTGGGTGTAATTGTTAAAGTTTGTTGAATGTTTGAAATTTTTGTAAGAAGTTTGAAATGTGGATTTATGTGGTTCTGGTGATGTAATGTGCTAGAGTTTTAGAAAATAAAAACTATGAATATTAAATAAACAAAAGAAAAAACCAAAACTGGTCAAAA